TTTGGGGATTTCAAAATCCCATACATGTTAGAGAACTTAATATTAGCAGCAACAAATCTTGACAAAAATATATGATGAAGGAAAGTAAGGAATCATTGAAGACAAATTGTTCAAGATGATTGATGATTATGATGATGTGTTTATTGTTTAATTTTAGGAATTGTTATTCATTTTTACATATTTAGGCTTTGTTTGACATCCATTCTCATTCTCATTTTTTTTCTTTTTTCATTTCAAGTACACATTCTTCAAATAATATAATATTACACACAAATATAAAATTTTTTATTACTTTTCAACCACACATTTTTTCATCAATCACTATTTCAGAATTCATTTTTTCTCAAAATGGGTGTTGAACACAGGATAAGTTTATTGAGTTGTACTGTATATTGATGATTTCTCAATGAATAAAAGAACAACTCCCATTTCTATCTTCTTCAGAATTTCTTCTTACTCTATACTGACATTGGCAATGCCTTCTCCTGAAGCTTTTTCGTAGATAATGTCAGTGTACTCCTTCCCGGAGTCGTCCTTCGCCGGAGACCATACCGAAATGTGAGTTGGAACTTCGCCGTGAAGCCGGTGGAAACTGTTGTTTATTAAAGAGCTGCAGTTCATTGTGCCAATGGTATTACCTGGTTGACTTTGGTTTGGATGAGCTGGCATGATATGATTGGCTATGGAGGCTATCCTCCTCCTAGCAGAAGCTGTCATTTTAGCCATTCATGTAGTAACAGATTACCTTGACAATCTGATTATCTTCTTCTCAGGATGGAGTGGGAGTAAGGGGATTTTGAAGATGAAGATGAGATAAACTGAAATAGTATGCTAGAGGGTATGTGTTTCTTTTGTTTGCTTTTGGCGGTTGATACTTCATTATCTCGACAAGAAGTAATGGATGAGATATCTGATAAGATGGGATGAGAATTCCAAAAGTACCCTTTTAAACACCTTGATGGAGCCATTCAAACGAGGGTGTGCAAGTCAAATTCTGTGGACTACCCAGACGAGCAGTTAAACAAGTGAAAGCATGACTCATACCTTTAGCCAAGTTGGATTGTACTAAAGCTCAATCGAGTTATCTAGACTGATCCAACCCATCCCAAGGTTTGATGTATAGTTGGATTGTCAAGTCGTATGAGGTTCGACTGCAGCTTGCTGGACCTGGAGCTTGATTTGGAGAGCTGCATAGTGGAGTGTTTTTGGGATCTTGATTGTTTTCAAGCCCCCGTTTGATTGGAATTAAAATCAGATTTTTATTATAT